ATTGTCTCGTTTAGTTTACACTCAAAGTGGATTGGTCTCTCTAAGCGAGATCCCAATTCGTCGGTCACTGACGTGACATCGAGAGTGACTGACTGAAAGGAATTCAGGGTTATTATAGCTAATTAAAACTAAAAACATTAGAAAAAGCACTTTCATTACTTAAAATAAAATAAACATTTAATGAAATCAGGGTTATTATAGCTAACTAAAATTAAAACCATTAAAACAATTTAGAAAAATATGTTTTTCATATATATATATATAAAATATTTATATTTATATATAATATAAATTATATATTAATATAAATATATATACATGTAAATATTTTTTAAATATATACATGTATGTTTGTGTATTTATATATACATAATAAATAAACACAAAACACACATATATTATTGACAGTACTAAAAATATTTAATAAAAATTGATATATTTATTTAATTTAAAATACATTGCATTTTCATGGTTCAGTACATTTTTTTATTTGTTAGTAATAAAGTTCAGCACTGTTTTACTTGGAGTGTTATGTTTGTTTTCATAAATTATCGGTTGATTAATCGGTTATCGGTGTGGTCCAACCTAGTTCTGGTTATCGGTAAAACCCGTGAGCGTTCAAAGTGTGAATGTGAGTCGGTCAGCAGATCTGTGCGAGTGTGTGACAGACTGTATTCTCTCCAGCAGATGGAGGAAGACACCGATATGGATAGTTATCAGGTACTCTGACTTCTGCTGTTGCTGCTGATCATGTGCTTCAGACAGGGAGCGTCCATCATAATCGGCCATTAATGAGCCTCATATTATAATCTCGCTGAATTGAATGTGAGAAATGAGAGATTCCTGCACTAACACACGGCTGTCTTCACTCGGTCACATGATCAGTGCATGGCTGCATGATTCCTGCATGTTTACGTGCATTTGATGGAGCCACGTACAGTATGACCGCTTCATCTGTGTGAAAACAGCACAGTGGATTTAATCTGCCTTTATTAATTCATGCATTTATTTGTTTATTCTGGTGTTGTGTAAGTATTGAATTTTGATGCTTGGTTCCTAAATCTGCACCTGACACCGTGTCTACACTGCATTACACTGAAATCGTTGATCTTATTATTGGCATAGTGCAGAATGTAATGCATAGATAGAGTTAAAAGCAAAGGATGATTTAAATGAGACCAGAAAACAGAAATATTTTGAGCTGACCTTGATTGAATGCTCAGATGTTACTGAAATACTCAGTTAATAAAAATCAAATTAATATAGTAAAATAAAGAGGCGAAATGAAGCTTTGTTTTGTTTTGATTTTTTGAAAAAATAATTATCACTTGGTTTCTACACATATTAAAAAAGTTTAAATAAAAATAGAAATGTAAATTAAGCAAAATAAATAAATAACCAGAAAGGAAAAAGATAAAACAGAAATAAAGAAAAAATTAAATTGTAAAGTGACATTAACAACAATTTCATACAATTTATAGCATATAATTTTTTTTAACACAACTTTTTTAATTAAATTAATTTATTCCATTATTTTTCAAACGATCATGTCATTAGATTGGTTTTGTGATCCTTTCTTTTCTTGTGATTAGTGAGAATTCAGACAGATGATTGCCCTTTTTAAGCTAAATAACAAATATTCTGAAATATATTGAATATCATTAAAAGGCTAAAATATAGAATATGAAACTCATTTTTAACACGTTCTATATTATTATATAATTTAAAATATTTTAATATATTCTGTTATTCTATATGTTCTATATTATTCAAAAATTATATTATTAAACTTTTTTAATGTACATTTTTCATGATATTCAATATATATATATATATATATATTGTTTATATTGGTCTATATTTTTCATGATATTCAATATATATCTCAGTCTTTATATAATTAAGCATAAAAAGGGAGATCATCTGTCTGAACACTTACTAGTCACAAGAAAATGCCTAATTTTCTAAAAGTGTATATAGATGTTACGGACAAGAAGTAACAGATTTGTTACTGAAAAACTCAAACTATTCAAAATAATATCTGGAAAATCTGGAATCTGAGGGTGCAAAAAAATCAAAATATTGAGAAAATCATCTTTAAAGTTGTCCAAATGAAGTTCTTAGCAATGCATATTACTAATCAAAAATTTAGTTTTGATATATTTACGGTAGGAAATTTACAGAATATCTTCATGGAACATGATCTTTACTTAATATCCTAATGATTTTTGGCATAAAAGAAAAATGGATAATTTTGACCCATACAATGTATTTTTGGCTATTGCTACAAATATACCCCAGCGACTTAAGACTAAGTTTTGTGGTGCAGGTTCACAAATGTTATTTGTAATTTGGTGCTGACCTTTGGTGTTTATTGTAGACACGGGGTGAGATGGAGGTGCTGTATGTGGGTTGATCAGTGGGATAAACTTCAGATGGGATCTTCAGATTCTTTTCCACGCGCTTTAAAGTTTTTTATGTATTTTCTGTCTCAAACGAGCCACTTAAACGAGCAGCAGCGTATCTGAGGTCTGCATGTTGTTCTGCAGGAGGAGGATCTGAACTGCGTGCGTGAGCGCTGGTCTGACGCTCTCATCAAGCGCAGGGAGTATCTGGAGGAGCAGATCAAGAGGATCATCAACAAGCCAGGTTGGAGTTTGAAGCGTGTGTTCATCGTGCTGAGCTGCTGGAGCTGCTGCTGTGATGTAATGCGCTGTGATTTCCAGAGAAGTGCGAGGAGGACGTGGAGCGGGAGGCCGGGCTGGTGGAGCAGTGGGTGGGTCTGACGGAGGAGAGGAACGCCGTGCTGGTTCCGGCTCCTGGCAGCGGGATCCCAGGGGCCCCGGCGCACTGGTGAGAACTGAACCACTGGAAACCAGTCCTGCTCAACCTCAGCTGGTTTAGAAGACAAGCTGTTTGAGAGACACATATATAAAAACCAAACATTCCTCGATCAGACCTTTGTATTCATTGGAATATGTCTATTAGTTATTATTAAAGCTGCAGTCCATAGCTTTTGGCGCTCTAGCGGTTACTAAACAGAACTGCCTGCGTCTTGCAGAAGAACATTGTAGCCGGAGCTACTTCTCTCTGTTTATGTCTATGACGAATCACGCAGGTACTGGGCTACTCCGCAGCGGTACCTACCCGAACCAATGTAAAATAGTCCGAATATAAACACTTATTATATGTGTACCGTAGGGATTCTGGATAAGCCAAAAACACAGTTTGGAAAATGGATCAATGGTGTACTCGCTTATTATATAAATTTTGTTAATTTTGAACACAAAAAAAATGAGGGACTGCAGCTTTAAGGAATAGAAGGTATGATGAAGTTCATTGACTTTAATTTATTTGAGTAAAAACATATGATAATAATAAATTAAGATCAAATAAAATAAAAAAAGTAAAAAATACTATAGTATTATGCAATGTTTATCATTAAATTAAATACAATATTAATAAAAGTAATATTTTGTGCTACATTTATTTGACTTAAGTTATTATTATTATTATTAAGAATTATTTAACTAAAGTACTCTTAAGAAGTTCAGGACATTCTCATTAGATTCACTTTACTGTAAAAGTCTTTTTTTTTTGTAAAAACATATGATAATAATAAATTAAGATAAAATTGAAAATAAAAGTAAAAAATACTATAGTATTATGTAATATTTTAACATATAAGTCATATTAAATTAAATACAATATTAATAAAAGTAATATTTTGTGCTACATTTATTTTACTTAAGTTCTTCTTTTTCTTTTTCTTCTTATTATTAAGATTTATTTAACTAAAGTACTCTAAGAAATTCAGACAGTCTCATTAGATTCTCTTTACTGTAAAAGTTATTTATTTTTTGTAAAAATAAAAATATTAATCTAAAATACAGTAAAATAATAGTAAAAATACTTTAACACTAATATTTAACATTTTAAACCATTTAATTAAAGACAATTTAAGTAAAAATAATAATAAAAGTTGAAAAATATTATACAGTATTTTAAATTTTAAATCATATTAGATTAAATACAGTATTAATAACATTTATATTTTCTGCTACATTCTCATTAGATTCACTTTACTGTAAAAATCTTTTTATAAAAAATAGAAAAAAATATTAAAATAAAATGTAAAAAAAATACAAGACTATAACACTAATATTTAAAAATGTAAATCATATTAGATTAAATACAATATTAATAAAATGTATATTTTCTGCTACATTTATTTAACTTAAGTATTAAGACTTATTTAACTAAAGTACTCTAAGAAATTCAGAAATTCTCATTAGATTCACTTTACTGTAATAGGTATTTATTTTTGTAAAAATGAAATAAAATGATAAAAATAAAAAATGACTATGTAATATATTTAAAAATTTAAATCATTAAATTAAAGGAAATGCAAAATTAATACAATCAATATTTTCTGCTACATTTATTAAGTAACTAAAGTAGGCTAAGAAATTCAGATATTCTCGTCACTCTCATTAGATTCATGTTACTGTAATAATAATATTTTTTTGTATAAATTAAATATTTATTTTAAACAAAATAAAAGTAAAAAATAATATAGCTAATTTAAAAAATTTAAATTTAAATGTAAATATTTGCTAATTCATTTCATTAATACACAAGTATTTTTAAAGTACTCTAAGCATTTTCAACCATTAAATTGTAAACAGATGTTCTTAAATGTAATTTTCAACCTGCACATGACAAGACATCGAATAACATGAATTAAACAGTATCTTGCAGTACTATTCAAAGTCAGTGAAAAATGCTGTTAACAACCCATTTTCCTTCAATAATGGTGAGTGAAGCAGGCTTGGATTCTGAAAGATATGTTACTTAACTGACAAGCATGAAAGGAAAACCTGTTATCGGAACAGTTTTGGAGGAAAAGTGTTCACATCAGTGTTGTTGTTGCTCAAGGGTTCCCCCTGCTGGCATGGAGGCTCATATTCCTGTGCTGTTCCTGGATCTGAATGGTGAGATATATTGATCTTCAGGGTTCAAGGGCTGAAGGTTTTTCTGGTTTACATGACTCTGTCAGATCAGTGATTTAGGCTGGTTTGCTTGTGACGGTTATTTTATCTGTAATGTGTGTTTTGCAGCTGATAACCTGACGGTGAACGATCAGCTGACCGGTCCTCACGCCGCCGGTGTTAACTCAATCCTTCCCAAAGAGCACGGCAGCCCGTTCTTCTACCTGCCCATCATCAGACACAGCAATGACGAGGTGAGAGGAATTAAGCCTGTTAAATGACAGTGACGTGTGTCTTCTACATGAATCATATTAATAACCTCAGAGCTCATGGTCGGTCTGATTTGAAAGGTTTATATAAGGGCTGAAGGTTTTTCTGGTTTGCGTGATCCTGTCAGATCAGTCATTCAGGCTTGTTTGCGTGTGACTGTTATTTTATCTGTAATGTGTGTTTTGCAGCTGATAACCTGACGGTGAACGATCAGCTGACCGGTCCTCACGCCGCCGGTGTTAACTCAATCCTCCCCAAAGAGCACGGCAGCCCGTTCTTCTACCTGCCCATCAACAGACACAGCCATGACGAGGTGACAGGAGTTACACCTGTTCAAATGTGTTTACACCTGTAGGAGTTACACCTGTAGGATTTTTCAGATGTGACCCTGGACCACAAAACCAGTCATAAGGGTCAGTTTTTTGAAATTGAGATTTATACATCATT